TTGGTGATAAAAACAAATGTACAATGTAACATATTTACCAACACATGTTCTACGCCACTACATACTTACATTTCAATGTGTGCTGCGTCGGTTCAGCCATTCTCCGCAAGGGTTTTTGAAATTGGTCCGTGCGCAAAGCATTGTGGGGATTTTAAGGACGCGAAGTCTACCCATGTGCAGCCTCGAAATTTCCCCCAAACCAAGGACGCGGCCTCGGTGGAATTCCAAGTATGCTGGAGATTGGAACAGTACTTCGGCGGCACTCGATGACGTGGCATCCTTGAAATATTGGCTTGGAAGCCAGTATCCTCGAGATTGAGAAACGGCCCGTATTTTGATGGTTGGGGTGTTGGTTGGTCAGGGGGACATTATTTGTTGACGCACAGGTGGCCCGAGTGGACGACGTGAGCCGAGGGCCCAGCTGCCACTAAACGACTCGCAGTCTGGAAATTACCATTTTAAAAAAACAAAAAAAACCAACAAAAAAAAAACCTGGACGTTTACTTTTCGTTTTAAGCATCGTTTTAAGGTGTAAACGTTTCATTTAGAAATGCGCATTCCCGTGACACGGGGTGCATTTCACGGTGGGGGTGCATCATTTGACACAACACCAGCGCTAACAGTTCACGAGACCCCCCCCCTTCCTCCTCCTCCTCCGCTTGCTTCTCCGAGCCCTCTTCCTCCTCTTCCTCCTCCTCCTCCTCTTCCTCTTCCTGCTGCTTCTTCTTTCCTCCTCTCTCCGATGTTTTCCCGGTGGTAACTTTTTGTTCTTGTCGATCATAAAAAAAGGAATTGGTCTGGAAACTTCCCCGGGGATAAAAGCCAGTTGTTTCGTCTCCCCGTCACTGCACTCAACAGGTGAATCCCCCTCTTCCTGTTCCTCCTCTTCCTCTTCCTCCTCTTCCTCCCTCCACCATCAGAGTGGAAGTGGAGGATGAAATAATGAAAGCATGTTGGGGAAAATGAGAATCCCGTGGAGCTTCTATTTGAAATGTTTTGTTTCTTCCGGACTCAGAGATCTTTTTTGAAGATTCACACAAAATAAATCCTTCCTTTTGACTTTGACCAATCTCAAGATCTACCTCTCTTTTTTCTGTTTTCTAAACACATCTGTGAGAATACCGCTGTTATCAATATCATGAAGATAACATGCTTGTGTGTATACTTAGGTAAGTATAATGAAAATACTCAAGTAAAGTACAAATACCTAAAGTCCGTGTGCTTTGTAAGCTCTGCTGTGATTTCACTCGGTTATGTGTGTTTGTTTTATTGTATGGCGTGTCCTTTATTGCAAGTGTCGCTGTGACTGAGTGTGGTTTATAACGGGAGCTGTCAGGTGTTCCTCCTCTCAGGGGAAGCCAGCATGGCATCGCTCCGATATCACAGCTTTACTGTCATCTATCACCATGGAGATTAAAACAGCGCTGGTGTTATAGAGAGATTGTCTGATTGAAGTGTTTACGTTTTTATTGGATCTCTCGGCCCTCAGGACTAACTCTGACTCGGCGCTCCACACCAGCGTGATGAACCCCCCCCAAGGAGACCCCTTCTCCACAGGGGGGCCCCTCCAGAGCAGCAGACGCTCAGGTGAGGCCACACACACATATACATCACATCTAGAGACAGAAAAACTCAGGGAAGCAGGATGATCTCCATATTAACACCACTTTTGACTTTTTAATTATCTAACATTAGGCTTTAAAGGAACTACAGCACGGTCACATGACTTCACGTCACCACCACTAAGCTAAAGGCGGCTAATGTTGGGCTTTAAAGGAACTACAGCACCGTCACATGACTTCACGTCACCACCGCTAAGCTAAAGGAGGCTAATGTTGGGCTATAAAGGAACTACAGCACGGTCACATGACTTCACGTCACCACCGCTAAGCTAAAGGAGGCTAATGTTGGGCTATAAAGGAACTACAGCATGGTCACATGACTTAAAGTCACCACCGCTAAGCTAAAGGTGGCTAATGTTAGGCTATAAAGGAACTACAGCACGGTCACATGACTTAAAGTCACCACCGCTAAGCTAAAGGTGGCTAATGTTAGGCTATAAAGGAACTACAGCACAGTCACATGACTTCACGTCACCACCGCTAAGCTAAAGGAGGCTAATGTTGGGCTATAAAGGAACTACAGCACGGTCACATGACTTCACGTCACCGTCCGCTAAGCTAAAGGAGGCTAATGTTGGGCTATAAAGGAACTACAGCACGGTCACATGACTTCACGTCACCGTCCGCTAAGCTAAAGGAGGCTAATGTTGGGCTATAAAGGAACTACAGCACGGTCACATGACTTCAAGTCACCACCGCTAAGCTAAAGGTGGCTAATGTTGGGCTATAAAGGAACTACAGCACGGTCACATGACTTCACGTCAGCACCGCTAAGCTAAAGGTGGCTAACGTTGGGCTATAAAGGAACTACAGCACGGTCACATGACTTCACGTCACCGTCCGCTAAGCTAAAGGTGGCTAATGTTGGGCTATAAAGGAACTACAGCACGGTCACATGACTTCACGTCACCACAGCTAAGCTAAAGGAGGCTAATGTTGGGCTATAAAGGAACTACAGCACGGTCACATGACTTCAAGTCACCACCGCTAAGCTAAAGGTGGCTAATGTTGGGCTATAAAGGAACTACAGCACGGTCACATGACTTCACGTCACCACCGCTAAGCTAAAGGCGGCTAATGTTGGGCGTGATGACATTAAATCGTCTCATTTAGACACTTGTTAGCAACCGTCGTTGGTAAATCCAGCAGTGAGGTATTTACTGACATACTTTACGCGGTAGAATAAAAATCTCTTCAGCTCGTCTTAACCACAGACCTTATTTCAGGAACATGTGAACATAAAAACATTCAGAAACCGTTGACCTCCAGACAGGGGACAGGAAGTGCTGAAATGCTGAGTCATGTTTCAGGACTGGTTCCTGCAGCTTTCACACGTCTCCTCTTGAAACCACAGTGACAGAAAGTGAAAGTGGTGTGATGTTTGTTGTTCCTTTCTTCTGTGTTTTGGATGTGGTGACCGGTTCTTTGTTAAACTGTTAACCTATATAAGAAATATAAATAGGATAAAGTCGTGTGGACAGGTTTTGGACGTTCTGAATATAAACTGAGGAGGATATTTCCAGCTCACTATTAACTGTTGTGTGTGTGTGTGTGTGATCCTGCAGGGCAGAGCGATGGAGAGGGCAGACGAAGTGAGTCACACACACACACACACACACACGCTCACACACACACACACACACACACACACACACACACACACACACACACACACACACACACACACACACACACACACACTGCTGTCATGTAACATCATCGTTTCCTTTTCAAATGGATCTCAGTGTTTCCGTACCCGGTGCCCCCCATCGAAGAGAACATGCTGGATGAGGGGAAGCTGCTCAAGCCCTGGGACACCAAGAAGGTAAGTAAATATGTATTTTAAAAAGTGCAAGTTTAGTGCATGTAAATGGTCTGCAAAGGCTAGAATACCTCCAGTCGGAGTTTCTCTTCATTCTTGTTGACTTATTTATTAATGTGTAAATCCACTAAATAAAACTTAAAAACGTAATTATAACTGTGTTATTCTCCAGTTGCCACTGTTGTCGTCCCGGCCAAAATCCTGTGAAGTCCCTGGCATCAAGTAAGTCTAACATAACCACACACACACACACACACACACACACACACACACACACACACACACACACACACACACACATTGAAGTACACCATATACCTAATTAAGTGCAGGACTTGAGTAAATGTACTTAGTTACTGAACCCTGTCTCCTCAGCATCTTCTCGTCTCCGGAGCAGCCGCCCCCCCCCCCAGGGCACGGCGTCCCGGCGTCTCTGAACACCGGCGGCTCGCTGCCCGATCTCTCCAGCCTCCACTTCCCGTCGCCGCTGCCCACGCCGCTGGACCAGGACGAGCCCTGCTACCCAGGATGCACCTCTCTGAGCGGGGGCAGCAGCACGGGGAACCTGGCCTCCACCCTCACGCAGCTGGGCATCAACGCCGCCAACGCTCAGGGCGGAAACGCCAACTTCCACCACCACACGCCAGGTACAACTCCACCTGTCTGTCTGGAATCACGTGAGGGTTCAAGATCTCACGGGATCTGTGGGGGCTGCTCAGTAACTCTGTCTGAGCTTAAACTCTCTTAAACCAGGTCTTTAAATATCTACTGATATTCATCTAATGCTTCACCGGCTCTGTGGCGCTTCCGGTTGAAGTGTAGTTATTATTTATTTGCAGAGCAATACTGCTAGCACTAGACTCCTAGCGCTAGACTCCTAGCACTAGACTCCTAGCGCTAGACTCCTAGCACTAGACTCCTAGCGCTAGACTCCTAGCACTAGACTCCTAGCACTAGACTCCTAGTGCTAGGATGGGTTAAAAGCAGAGACCACGTGTCACTGTGTGTGCTGTGTGCTCTGCATGTGTGACCATTAAAGAGGGTTTCATCCTCCATTTCTATCTATTCTATATTCTATCCTAGCGTCGTCAGCTGTATCGACCTCTACCCACCAGAGAAACCGTTTTTAAGCTTTTAAATGAACTGTTATTAAGTTATAACAGTTTTAAGGGAGAAACAAACTATTTAGATGAACTATTTTGTATTACTTTTACTCAAGTACAAGATCTGAGTCACTGTAGTAAGAGGTACTCCTCCCAGCCTCTCACTAACCTGGTTCAGTGTGTGTGGATCAAAGTGTCGGCTAAGAGCAGGTTAGCACAGGAAGTGTGTGGGCGAGGGGATGAGATGAAGGGGGGATGTACGGCGAGGCCAGGCGCTAAATTTAGCCTTCAGAGAGAGAAAAGAGAGGAGGGTGCTTTTTTATTTTCAGGGCGGAAGTGCAGTCGGAAAATGTGGCCTTGTTTTATGGTCTGCAGCGAGGCAGGAAGCTGCTGCAGCCCACGATGCCAGAGTCTCACTGACTGCTGCTTCTTCAAGTCACACGCAGGCTCCGATAAATAATTGGCAGTAATGAGGATCTTTGTTGACACAACTCTGTGTTTGTGTCTGCAGATTATCACATGAAGCCTCATTTGCATAAACACAACATGTCGGAAAGCTTAATATAAAAAGGGATGGTGTGTGTGTGTGTGTGTGTGTGTGTGTGTGTGTGTGTGTGTGTGTGTGTGTGTGTGTGGTGTGTGTGTGTGTGTGTGTGGTGTGGTGTGTGTGTGTGTGTGTGTGTGTGTGTGTGTGTGTGTGTGTGTAAGGTGTGTGTGTGTGTGTGTAAGGTGTGTGTGTGTGTTATGTGTGTGTGTAAAACAGGTGTGTTCTCGTCCCCCTCAGGTCTGATGGCGTCTCTGCAGACGACGCTTAGCAACCCCTCCCTGCAGTCATCGCTAAGCAACCCCAACATCCAGTCGTCGCTCAGCAACCACTCCTTCTCCAACTCTCTGAGCTCCGCCTCCCTGCACTCGTCGCTCAGCAACCCCTCGCTGCAGTCCTCGTTAAGCTCCTCCCCCTCGCTGCAGTCCTCCCTCAGCAGCCAATCGCTGCACTCCTCCCTCAGTAGCTCCTCCCTGCAGTCGGTGTCCAGCGGTAACCCCGGATACGGCGGCGGAGGCTCCTCCTCTTTCTCGCCGTCGCTAAGCACATCGCCACGGAGACGGGTGCAGCTCTCCCCCCTCATCCTGCCCCTGGGGGGGGACTCCCGGAGGCATCACTCCAAGCAGTTCTCCCCCACCATCTCCCCCACGCTGTCCTCCATCACACAGGTAACTACAGATTGATGTTATTGGACTTTTCTTCAAATAGGTTTCCATCTGGGTATTTTACATGTATTAGAACAAGTTCCTTCGCAGTGAGTCTCACACAACATGGTACATATACAATATAGTACATCATATAATCAAAAAGTACAATACACAATAGTAATTATCAACAAAGCATAAGAAATATAAAGAGTATGTAGTCCAAAGAGCCTTTCAGTACAACAGGTGACCATTTCTCTGAAAACACTTCCTTCTTGAGTTGTAGTTCTCTATCTGTGTTTTTAATCTTTGTTTTATTCTATGTATGCACCACGACACCAAGTCAGACTGTATGTGTCAACCCAACCTGATTCTGAACGACACAGGAAGCGGCACTGTGTGCATCTGCAGATATCTGTGTGATCTTTTTAACTTCTTTACCGAGCATTTTATTAATTTAATCATCATGTTTAATCTTAAACACGTTATCTACGATCTCTGATGAACAGAGAGGAGCACCAGCAGGACGCTACACTGTGGAGGACATCTGCAGATATCAAGTGTTCACTTTACTGAGCATTTGATTTATTTATCATTATTTTAAACACGTTTTCTACGATCTCTTCATAGAAAACAGCAATTTGACTTCATGATGGCTGTAGAGACGGACGGAGCTCCAGCAGGAAGCGGAGCAAAGTTCAACTGTGGACGAAATGGCTCGGACAATTTGGGAGTGATATTAGGGCTTAGCCTACAGAGAGTATAAATATGACCTCTTTCTGGTTCAAACTGACATTTTTTATCCAATTAAATATCAGAAATGGATTCAGCGTCCTCAATAACCCCCAAACCCACCACACACACAATTACCAAATCGGCCATGCCATTTTTTAACTATTGTCTACATTGGCTATAATGCTAATTAACACCACTTATGCTAATTGTGTAAATGTCCCAACACATGCAGGCGAGCATCCGGCAGTCTCTACGTGCTGGAGACCCTACTATACATTTCTAACATAACACTTTAGGGGTTCTCAACATTTCTGTGTGCTGGCAACTTGACCAGCGGTTCTCAAACCGAGGGTACTGCAGGTGGTCCGTGAAAACAATAAAATAAAATCCACTTTTTATTATCAAGGATTTTCGCGGACCACCTCATATGCTCAAACTGTAACAATAAGTACATATAAACGTAGTGTTAAAACTCAGATATTTCTTGTTGTTAATTATGGACAACACTTAAGTACACTACTGGTTACCCATGGTTACGTGTGTGCATGCAACACCACAAACATGGATCAGTGGCTAGCATCAGGTTCTCTGAAGAGAAGAGAGGTTACCGTTAATGAAGATAATGAGAGTGAGTCGGAGGACAAGCCAGATTCCGCCGAAAGAAACAAAGAAAGGGAAGATTAAGAGAAATGGGAACTACTTGGAACTGGGATTTACCTACACAGGCACTGAAGATGAGCCTTTGCCAGTATGCGTTCTTTGCTACGAGACCCTGGCTAACGAGACCCTGGCTAACGAGACCCTGGCTAACGAGACCCTGGCTAACGAGACCCTGGCTAACGAGACCCTGGCTAACGAGACCCTGGCTAACGAGACCCTGGCTAACGAGACCCTGGCTAACGAGACCCTGGCTAACGAGACCCTGGCTAACGAGACCCTGGCGAACGAGACCCTGGCGAACGAGACCCTGGCGAACGAGACCCTGGCGAACGAGACCCTGGCGAACGAGACCCTGGCGAACGAGACCCTGGCGAACGAGACCCTGGCTAACGAGACCCTGGCGAACGAGACCCTGGCGAACGAGACCCTGGCGAACGAGACCCTGGCGAACGAGACCCTGGCGAACGAGACCCTGGCTGACGAGACCCTGGCTGACGAGACCCTGGCTGACGAGACCCTGGCGGACGAGACCCTGGCGGACGAGACCCTGGCGGACGAGACCCTGGCGGACGAGACCCTGGCGGACGAGACCCTGGCTGACGAGACCCTGGCTGACGAGACCCTGGCTGACGAGACCCTGGCGGACGAGACCCTGGCTGACGAGACCCTGGCTGACGAGACCCTGGCTGACGAGACCCTGGCTGACGAGACCCTGGCGGACGAGACCCTGGCGAACGAGACCCTGGCGAACGAGACCCTGGCTAACGAGACCCTGGCTAACGAGACCCTGGCTAACGAGACCCTGGCGAACGAGACCCTGGCGAACGAGACCCTGGCTAACGAGACCCTGGCTAACGAGAGTCTAAAACCAGCTAACCTTCGCCGTCAATCTTGGAATCTGTTTATATATGTACTTATTTTTACGGTTTGCATATGAGGTGGTCCGCGAAAATCCTTGATAATAAATAATGGTCCGCATAAACAAAAGGTTTGAGAACCCCTGAACTAGATGACTAACTTATTAGATTCAAAGATTCAAAGCTGTTATTATCACATGCTCATAAGCTACAGAGTAGAAATGGCAATGAAACTCTCCTGACCTGAGCTCCTCCAGCAATGCAACGTATATCATAAAATACAAAAATAAAAAGTAGTGCAAGAAGTCTATATTCATGTAAATAGAATATATGATACGTACAACAACAGAATATGAAATTAAATAATGTAAATTAAGACACAATTAAATACGGTTTATTGCGGTGATAACTATTTATATAAATTAGTAGATTGCAAGATGACAAACGGATGAATGTTTATCGGGGCACTTTTTTAAGATTCAAGGCTTTTATGGTCGTGTGTCAGAGCTACAGTGAAGATATGACGAGGACAATCTGAGGTCACAGGCTCCTCCAGCAGAGCAACACAATCACACAGATAAAATAGTGCAAGTAAATACAAATAAAATAGAATTATATAATAGAAAAAGTGCAGAATAGTCTATACACAAGTAATTGGAATATGATATATTAGATATGATATATTAGATAAATAGTTTTTCTTAGTTTTTTCACTTCAACAGCTCAGGAGTGGAGTGCACCAGCTGAGCGTAAGACTGGGCGTAACTCTACGTCCGACGAGAAGGTTAAGACCAAACTAAAGTTATGACTAGTGCACCACTTAGACTTAAGCCCTGTATGCGTTGCGCCCGGGTGTAACTTTTAAGCCTAGTATGGAGCAGTCGTAAATCGGGAAGACAGACTAGTATCCATAGTAACGTAAAACAGGAAAGAAGGAAAGTAACGATGGCAGTGCGTCTTGTTTACAGGTTTATCAACGAAAGGGTATTAAGACGAGAGAGTCGTCCGTGATGGAACAAACCCACTGGACATCTATTCGGACAGTGAGCTGATAGAGAGGTTTCGTTTCGGCAGCCCTTTTTGTTGGAATCGAGGAGATCTCCCCTCAACTGCAGCACGGATCAGACAGAAACGATGCGCTCTCCCCAACCTTGCTTGCTTTGAATGGAGAAGTTCCAGTGTTAAGTTATGTAGAGTCTAGACGTGTGTTGCTTGGCAACAATTACTGTTTGGCGTGTCTTGACGTGGACACGCATCTTAAGACTAGGCGCAGCTACGACCGTGACTAGTCAGGCTTGGTGCACTCCCGCTAAGCTAAGCCCGACGTTAGAGTTAAGACCTACTTTTTTAGGCCTAGCTGGTGCACTCCACTCAGGTGTTTAGCAGTCTTATTATGGTGAATAATAACATGTCCAACCCCCACCCCATCCACAGGGCGTCCCTCTGGACACCAGCAGACTTCCTCTGGACCAGCGGCTCCCTCCATACCCGCTCAGCCAGTCCCAGCAGCACCAGCAGGGCTCCCAGCAGCACCAGTCCCACCCTCAGGGCTCCCAGCAGCACCAGCAGCACCAGCAGGGCTCCCAGCAGCACCAGCAGCAGCAGCAGCAGCAGGGCTCTCAGCAGCACCAGCAGCACCAGCAGGGCTCCCAGCAGCACCAGCAGCAGCATCAGCTCCACCTTCAGAATCTCCGCAACTCTCACAACCAGCAGCTGCAGCACTTCAGCTCAGCAGAGGTGGGAGAAGTACTCAGATCTAAAGTAGATTGTTCTTACGGCTACACAGCATGGTACAAAGGTGGGAAGTAGTGGAGTACAAATACTTTGTTACTGTACTTAAGTACATTTTTCTGGTATCAGTACTTTACTCCACTACAAAAATACCTGTACTTTCTACTTCTTACATGTTGAACACAAATACCTGTACTTTCTACTTCTTACATGTTGAACACAAATACCTGTACTTTCTACTTCTTACATGTTGAACACAAATACCTGTACTTTCTACTTCTTACATGTTGAACTCAAATACCTGTACTTTCTACTTCTTACATGTTGAACTCAAATACCTGTACTTTCTACTTCTTACATGTTGAACTCAAATACCTGTACTTTCTACTTCTTACATGTTGAACACAAATACCTGTACTTTCTACTTCTTACATGTTGAACACAAATACCTGTACTTTCTACTTCTTACATGTTGAACCCAAATACCTGTACTTTCTACTTATTACAGGTTGAACACAAATACCTGTACTTTCTACTTCTTACATGTTGAACACAAATACCTGTACTTTCTACTTCTTACATGTTGAACTCAAATACCTGTACTTTCTACTTCTCACATGTTGAACACAAATACCTGTACTTTCTACTTCTCTCATTTTCCAAACAGCTGGTTCCTTTAGTCTGAATGTGTGTTTGATGCGTGATCATTATTCTTTAGAGTCATTGCGTGCCTATTGATTTGAACACGATCCGTGTATTCATCATTTCCTAGTCTTCTCTAAAGAAGAGGGACCAATGGAAACGTTGTCATGTTGCCGTTGTTCAGCATGGAAACATTCATTAGCTAACAATGACATTATTGTTCTATTAATATAAAGGGAGGTCAGTTACTCTTTAAAACGAAAGTTACGTATGTAACTACCGTTCTATGAATCCTGGATGACCGCCAGACTCAAGTCAAGTATTTATGTCAGTCACGTGTGACCTCGCATGACCCCGGAAGGCATAAGTTCCGGTGTTGTCAATGAGTTCAGTCCGATATAATCTTGACGCAGGAACATGAGTGATTAAGAACTCTGGCGGTCATCCAGGATTCAGAGAACCGTAGTTACATATGTAACTTTCGTTCTATTTCATCCTTTCTGACCGCCAGAGGCAGTACTTAGCACTGGATGACTTATATCAACAGAGTCATGAGGAAACCTGAGTACCCACCCTATAGGGATGGACTAGGTGGACTCTGCAGGAGGACCACACCCAACGGGTGAGGGGCGGCAACCATCACTCTGTAGTATCTGGCGAATGTGGAGACACTCCTGGTAGAGTGGCACTTTTTTTCAGGGTGGTAAGGGACGGTCATTCGCCTTGTATGCCTGGGCAATGACGTCCACGATCCAGTGGGACAAGCGCTGCTTTGAGAGAGCACGGCCCTTTATTTTTGGTGTCTATATACGCCGGGATCCGGAGTCATGGATGATCCTGCGGTCCTGTGTCCTGGATCGCGAGCCCTGGATCTTGAGTCGTGGCTGTGGTCCTGGATCATAGGTCCTGGATGGATATCCTCGTGGATTCATCTTCCTATTATACACACATGCATTTCCAAACATTTGGACTACCTATGTTGCAAATGTATTATCTTTTCAATTTACACACGGCATCTATTGCACGTCTGTCCGTCCTGGGAGAGGGATCCCTCCTCTGTTGCTCTCCCTGAGGTTTCTCCCATGTTCCCTTTAAACTGTGGGTTTTCTCCAGAAGTTTTTCCTTGTACGATGTGAGGGTCTAAGGACAGAGGGTCTAAGGACAGAGGGTGTCGTATTGTCATACTGATATTCTGCACACACTGTGAAGACCACTGAGACAAATGTAACATTTGTGATATTGGGCTGTATAAATAAACATTGATTGATTGATTGATAGGACCACCGTAACAGAGAAAGAGCTGTTCAGACTGCCGTATGCCTGCGGTAGTCTGGACATAAGCTCTAAGGGCCCGCACCAGGCATAAGAGTCTTGACCTCTCCTGATGGGGGTTCAAACCCTGCCAGCTGGATAGGCCGATTGAGATGAGAGCGTGCCAGCCCCTTAAGCCCCTGTCACACTGTCCCGAAATTGACACCCGATGGACACACGATAAAGGAAATGTTCAAATTCGGCTCTGATCGTAGCAACATCGGGCCATTCGTGAGGGCATCTTAAGCCATCGTATGACCGCCGGTGGAGTTTCTCAGGCTCCAGCAGCAACTTAGTGAGCGGCAACTTCGTAAGGCACTCGTGAGGGCATCTTGTCAAATCGTGTCATCTTCGTGTTATCATCGGTGCATTCACCCTCACTCTGATCGGGGCGAATGCCCGATGGCACCGATGATAACAAGATGCCCTCACGATGGCCTTACGAAGGGCAAAATTGACACACAAATTCAACATGAAAATGAACCTTTGCAAGGTCCTTCGGCAATTTTTTGGCATGCCAAAGATTTTGCCACCACTCACGAAGTTGCTGCCGGAGCCTGAGAAACTCCACCGGCGGTCATACGATGGCTTAGATGCCCTCACGAATGGCCCGATGTTGCTACGATCACAGCCGAATTTGAACATTTCCTTTATCGTGTGTCCATCGGGTTGTTTTATTGCACAACAAAATCATGTAAATATATTATGTAAATAACCCAATTTGTGTTCTGTGAAACTAAAAAGGATATAATATATTATTTTGAAGGAGAGTTGACAGGAAGTTGTTGTTGTTATGGAAACAACATTACGGAGAAAACGTAATATTTTCTACATATAAAGACGGATAAAGTAAAGAACAAAGTCTGAAGATATCAGTACAGTATCATAGTACTGTAACATAATTGTTTTTGGTACTTTCGTTGCAGAATGTCTTAAATGTAATGTAAATGTTGCCTTCGTGTGTGGTTCGGGGCCATCTTCATGCGAAATTCACAATTCCATATTCGTGTGTCCATCGGGTGTCAACTTCGGGACAGTGTGACAGGGGCTTTAGGGAGGAACGCTGTATTCGGCCATAAAGTGACACCTAAGCCATCTGAGTTCCACCTCAGACACGAGGTGAAGCTCGCTTACACGCTTTGCTGAAGTGATGGCAAGAAGGAAAGCAGTCTTGGCTGAGAGCCACCTCAGTTCTGCCTGTGACAAGGGTTCAAAGGGAGGCGAGCATATGGCGTCCAGCACCAAGGGCAGGTCCCATGCAGGAGCCCTTGGGACGTTTGGGGGGCGCAGCCTCAGAGCTCCCCTTATTAAGAAGAGGGATACCAGCCTGTGGCTCCCCACTGTGTTGTTGTCAATGTGAAAGCAGCCACATACACCCTGACGGTAGCGGGACACCGGCTGTCGTCCAGGAGGGACTGCAGGAACTCAAGGACAGTAGGCACCGAGCGATGCACTGGGTCCTTGTTTCGCCATTGGCACCAGTCAGAAAATAGTTCCTACCTGTTTTCGTACTGTAGACGAGTAGACGTTGCCCTGGCATTGAGAAAAGTCCTCCTGACAGGCTCTATGCAGTCGCTCTATGCAGTCGCTCAGCAGCGGCTCGGGCCCTCCAGACGGGCAGTGCAGTTAAGGCCCCCTAGCAGCACGAGGCACACATTGCAGGCCTACTTTGAACAGATAACGGAGAGAAAAAGAGGACGGTGCTTTTTAAAGAGTCTCAGTGTGAAGGTGCAGTTTCTGCTGTGAGCAACAAGGAACGACAGTGGACCAAATCAAGTGAAAGAATAATAAAAACAAGATAAGATAAAGCTGTATTGTCTCCCTTAGGAGACATTTGTCTTGGGCATCGAGATAATACACATAAGACATTCAGGTCAATCAGTCATAGATAAGGTGTTTTCTCTTGTAATAAGTAAAGAAATAGGCCAACAGAACAAGTGAACATTAGCTCGGTAAGATTTCTTGAAATAAGACGGGATATTTAGATAAATGAGATCTTGAGAACTTAGGTTTCACCTTCATCACACATGGTGCCGCTTGTTTGTACCATTTTCAGGCAATTTGTAATCTATTCTAGAAAATCAATGTTTTTGTTATTTATTTCAAGAAACAAACAATGAATGTCTTTTATGAACATTTATTGAAATGACTATTTTCTGATGTCAAGAGACGTAGAATACTTTCCACTGTGGGATTTGAATACATTTCTGAGTGATAAAATGTTCGTGTTTGTTCTTATGGTCTCATGACTATCTGTGCATCAATGAGACACCCCTGTAGCCCACATATGCTGATAGCTTAGCTTCTTGTGAAAAGGAGCTTGTATATAACTTGAATGTGCAGCACAGGGTTCATGTTTTTAAAGCATTTTCCAACAACAAGAAAACAGGCGAGCCCAACATGTGAAAACAGGGCTGAGACCTCAGAGGGTTCAGGTCTCATGTCGAGTGTAAACACATATTCTGTCGACATCGGAGCGATGTTCCTGAGTGTTCACTGTTCATCTTGTGTTTCCAGCAGCAGCAGCAGAGGGCGATGGGGCAGCAGATGAACTCGGGGAACGCTCAGCTGATAAAGAACGAGCGGCCGATGGACCCGTGTCTTCAGGTCTCTCAGCGTCACGTCAAACAGGAAGTGGAGCAGCAGAGAGCCGGCGGCCCCCCCCACCTCCAGCAGATCAGCCACAGCCTCGCCACCGACCTCTACAACGTGAGGAAGCGCAACCAAGGATACTCAGAGGGGGGGAAGTACTCAGATATTTGAACTAAAGTCAAGGGAGAAGTACTCAGAGAGCAGAGGGGTAGAAGTACTCTGGTCTTGTACTTAAGTAAAGGTAGAAGTACTCAGATCTTGTAGTTGAGTAAAAGTAGAAGTACTCAGATCTTGTACTTGAGTAAAAGTAGAAGTACTCAGATCTTGTACTTGAGTAAAAGTAGAAGTACCAGAGTGTAGGAATACTCTGTTTCAGTAAAAGTCCTGCATTCAAAATGTTCCTCAAGTGAAAGTAGAAAAGTATTCTCATCAAAATATAGTTGAAGCAGTGAATAGGATTTTATGAACGTTTTTTATTTTTCTGGCATTGCTTGTTTTGCTCCTGTCAACATGACACAGATCCTGTCATTATACGGCATTTCATTTATTTTGTCCTCTTTCCCAGGATGCCTTGTTCAACTCTCTGCTGGACGACCCCTATCTGAGTCTGCAGCTCACGGGCAAATCCAACCAGCAGGTAACACACGCACACACACACACACACACAGACGCACACAGACACACACACACACACACGCACACACGCACACACACACACACACGCACACAGACACACACACACAGACACACGCACACACAGACACACACGCACAGACACACAGTCACACGCACACACACACACACACACACACACACAGACGCACACAGACACACACACACACACGCACACAGACACACACACACACGCACACACACACGCACAGACACACACACGCACACATACACACACACACACACACACACACAGACACACGCACACACACACACACAGACACACACGCACAGACACACAGTCACACGCACACACACACACGCACAGACACACACACACACACACGCACAGACACACACGCACACATACACACAGACACACACACGCACACATACACACAGACACACGCACACACATGCACAGACACACACACGCACACATACACACACACACACACAGACAGACACACACACACGCACAGACAGACACACACACACGCACACACACACACACACGCACAGACACGCACACATACACACACGCACAGACACGCACACATACACACAGACACACACGCGCACACACACACACACACACACACACACACACAGTCAAACATGCATTTAAAAAACAGCTCATCATGCAATACTCAATGTGAGGTGAAAACTAAAAGGATCATCGCCATCATTAACCCAATCATGTATAAAACAGCCTAACATCAGATCTGGGGTTGATCTCTGTCTTCAACGTGAGCATGGAGCTTCAGTCTGACTTTATTAACGCCTGTTCCTCTGATCTGACGGCAGCAATCCGTGCTCTCTGTTATCCTCTCCGGTGTGATCGTGTTTTCTCCTGCCTTGAATCTGTTTCTGTGCTTCAGTTTTCCGCAGAGAGCCAGGGCGACTGTCTCTCTCTGAACCACGCTCTGAGCTCCGATAAGAACCAGTTCCCCTGCAACAGCCAGGGGCCTCTGGACCTGCAGGACCCCCAGAACCAGAACTACTGCGGGGGGGACGGCCACCACAACGTGCCCAACATCATCCTCACCGGTGGGTTTATCCACAGGTGTAACGCCGGCAGCTGATGGGCACGTTTCAGCGCCGAGTCCAGCGCTCCGTGTTGTTCCTGACCCTGGTTAATATACAGATATACAGAATAGAGGCCGTGTGCATTATGCGGGCCTATCACAGTGTTTCTCAAAGTGGTCCGCGAGCGCCCCCTAGTGGTCCGTGAATATATTGGTAACATTTCACATTTGAAATACATTTATTTAAGTTTTCCGCACTCTCGCGGGAATATCTCCGCAATGGAACGAGCTTAAGTTTCACTTTTGATTGCATGATATAGCCCAGAGCAACACCTTCGCCACACATGTTGCCACTTGTTTGTAACATTTTCAGGCGATTTGTAATCTGTTCTAGAAAAACGATGCGTTTTATTTTAGATTTCAAGAAGCACCTAGAACAAACAATGGATGTCTTTGATGAACATGTATCCGTGCTGGAAGTAGATTTAGATGAGTTAGGAGTGAGAGAGATTATTATGTAATATATGCATCCAATGAAGCATTGCATGGAGTCTGTTGCTGATCAGAGGCTGTTGTTGGGGCAGACCATGCAGGCCAGCCCGATGGTCACCAAGGTTCATGTTTTAATAGCATTTTTACAAAAAGAGCCCAGGCGAGCCTAACATGTGAAAAAGGGCTTAGACCTCAGAGAGTTAGACTCGGCCTGCGATCATAGTTTTACTGTATTTTGTTTTGAAAACCCACAGCGGAGGTTTGTGTCGTACTACATGCGGTGTATTTTGCATATCTCTCAGTAGCCAACGATCTGTGAGTCTGTTGGACATAAACTCCGTAGTAAATGTAGTCTACATTTCATAAGAGGTGTAAAACCTGAGAGCATTTGAACTAAAGGCTTATGTAATCTGTGTATTGTTGATTTCATGTGTGAACGAGGCGATGTAGAGAAGGTTAGGCTGTTATGGACTGTTGGTGAGCAGGCCTATTGTTTCTGGATATTTGGGGAGTCAGGTGGTCCGCGAGTGTTTTTTATTGGTTAAGTGGTCCTTGGTATGAAAAAGTTTGACAAACACTGCTCTATCAAACTCACAACATGTAAAAACAATATCAACTTTACATTTTTACAGTTTGCTGAATAAATTATGGTTTTAGCTTCAATTTAAATCTTCCACCTGAAAACAACAAATGAGTGAATGAGAGATTTGGATCTGGTTAAACAAAGAGCAACTCCAGATCCCCATTAGCACTAGCATCGGCTATTCTTCCTGGGGTCCTCACACACTCAAACATACATCAAACTAAACAGCTGATCATTTTCATGCAATGCTACTTGAGGTTTCAAAAGCCAAAAAGGTTTTAAATCTCTGACTGTCTAGAACAGTGTCTGTCAAACTTTTTCATACCAAGCACCACTCGCAGACCGCCTAACTCCACAAATATCCAAAAACACATCGTTTCTCTAGAACAGATTACAAATCGCCTGAAAATGGTACAAACAGGTGGCAACATGTGATGAAGGTGTTGCGCTGGGCTATATCATGAAACTTAAGCTCGCTCCATTGCGGAGATATTCCCGGGAGAGTGCGGAAAACTCAAATTAATTAATTTATTTCAAATGTGAAATGTTACCAATATACTCACGGACCACTAGGGGGCGCTCACGGACCACACTTTGAGAAGCACTGGTTTAGAACCATTTTTCACAAACGCTGAGCTCACACAGTGTCAGTTATTAAATCAGTCTTCCTGATTTCTTGTTCTACTGTTAGAGAACTCTCCCTGGTCCCCGGCTTGAGCTTCAGCCTCAGGATCCATGTATCTGTGATCCTCTCCAGAATGGAAGGAGTCATCACATACAGAGCATCAACTAGTTCCTGAACAGTGTCCTTCACATGCTGATATCCAAGAGAGGGAGTTACACAGTCACAAGATGGAGGAATAGAAAGCAGTATTCAATGTTTACTTCAGATTAGCTCCACGTCAGAAATGAGCATGCTTGATGTCTCTCTCCATAGAGGCTGAATCATCATGTTAATCACATAGCTATCATCTGCCTCAAACAGTCCTGATGCTCTTCTAGGTAATCACACATCCTGTCATGTTCACAGCTACAGTTGATACCTTTGTTATCATGTTACTCTCATGTTGGAAGAGGACATTCAGTGTTTCCCTCCCTCCCTCCTTCTGCAGGAGACTCCCCCCCTGGCCTCTCTAAAGAGATCACCAGTGCTCTGTCTCACGTCCCGGGCTTCGAGATGGACCCCTTCTCTCTGGACGACCCGCTCCGGATGGACCCTCTGGCTCTGGACATGCTGGACGGGGATCTGATGCTGGCCGACCCCGCCGTGGAGGACTCCTTCAGATCCGACCGCTTCAAGTGAAGAGGAGGAAACCCACGAGAGACGTCAAACCTCCGAGGACATTTCTCTCCTGGACCATCAAAGGCACTTAACTCAAAAAAGCTCTCGCAACGCTTGAAGTCAAGAAAAACCTGTTGCTGTGTCTCGATTCGCGTTCTTCTGTTCGTCTTACACCAGCTGTTTAGTGCGTCCCAATGCGAAGTACAGCAAAATGCACTGAGAGTACCGGATAGAGCTGGTCACATGTCACGCTCAACGACAACCGCCATCTTGGCTACGTAGCTGAAGCTAAGCCGCGAATGCTCCGGTGAACAAAGCACTGTACAAAAAAACATACGATATGACTTCACTATTCAAAAACATACTACAATACTGTGGTCAAACAAAGAAGCAATCCCTAATTTGGGTTAATACGGGGTGAAGGAATAAGTCCTCACATACAGACATGAGTCAGCATTTTAGCACTTCCTGTCCCCTTATCTGGAAGTCAATGGTTTTATTGAATTAGTTTTTGGTAAGATGCCTGAATAAGAGCGTAATGTACCACTATACTCGTGTCCAAAGCCCCGATCATTATCTGGGTTTAACTCAGCAGCCTGTAAGGATCTGGCAGCTCAAACAATCGTTGCTAACTAGCTAGCTTGCTAATAACAGCGTTCTGAAGGAAGTATCCGGATTGAGACACAGCGCTTCTCTTATTGTTTACGGCATTAGCTTGTATGATCTGCATGTCAATGGAAAATGCAAAAAACATGTCGGCTTTATGTAAAGAAAAACAAAGTCTGTAAAACCAGCAGTGCTTGTAAGATCGAGAAAAGAAAATATGCATCGTGATGATCGGTCCGACTGTTGCAGGGACGTGTGCGCCGTCAGGTTCAGCTTCCTCCGCTTTATCCGCCACTTTGACAGGAACTCAGCCATGACTCAGAGGTCTGTATATTTTTTTAATGAAAGCTTTCCTTGCTCCGACAGTCCTCAGAACAAAGGAGGGTACGGTCGGTCGGTGGAGAGCAGGTTAAAGGTGTGTTCAGTGTAAAGCCCCCGATATGCTGCTGCTTCTCAAGTGACTTAATCATGATGCCCCCCCCCCCCCCATTAAACTCCTCCTGTGATCGCAGAAGACGCCCGAGCTTTAACCTGAGAGCTCAAGAGTAACACGTCGTATTAATATTTGCAGATATGCTTTAAACAAGCCACAGAAAGAGGGTCAAAATGGACGAATGTATATATTTTCTGAATGTAATCAGTAATTCAAATCCAGGTGATGACGGTCACCTCGTCCTCTTCAGACGGTAGGGACGGACGTACATCTATTCTATGTTTCAACGTTTTTTACCGCATTTTTGGTGATTTTGGTGTAAAATGATGTTACAATCAAACGACATTTGGTTTAGAATTTCGTTTTTTTTGCTCGGATGTTATAAAGTATTTCTGAGAAGATTGTGACTTTTTGCTCTTTAGAAATATACTAAAGATTTTTGCCTTTTTCTAAAAACACAAATCAATCGGAGAAGCTCGCATTACAAGTTTCTTATTGATTGATTTTCTAATTGTTTTCAACATCATTAGAAAGACAAAGTAAAACTACAAACACAGACACTGCCGTATTTAAAAACTACATTTGAAGGTAGAAAGAAAATAAGAAAATGTACTATAAATATACTTTCCACAGGAATATGAAGTAAATATCCTTAATTGATATATTTAAAAAACGAGTCACGAGTTTGTTGTGAAGCAGGAAAAACCGGCCACACTTTGGTTTCCAACAAATCATATTTTTGTCCAAAGAAAAGTTGGGAATCATTGATTTAAATATCTTTATAACGAATCGTTGAATTTTCCACCAGAATCACCAAAAAGAAGCTCGGGTGTTTCTCAGGTCAGCCGGCGTCTTCTACGTCACCGTCAAATCTTCACTTTCCTGAGCCTGCTTGTTCTTAAAGGTCCCCTATTCTCCTCTTCTTCATCAACATATCACAGGTCTCAGATATATCCAGAGCCTGTCTCTGATTGGCTGAAACACCAAACAGATCATTGCAGCATTACCCATAATGCCCTCTGTTTCAGCCCTGTTTCCAAAGTGCTGATTCTCTGTCTGTTACTTTAGATGAAAACAAGGAGCCCCTCCCCACGCCCCTCTGAGAGACATTTGGTTACAAAGAACTCAATGGTGCTCTAGGAGGAGATTCAGGTGATAAGGGGGGGGGGGGCGGGTTACCTTGGTTCCTGATTGGCTAATGGTTACACAAGACAAAACATAATCTTAAGATGTTGATGTAGAAGAGACATGGAGAAGAGGGGACACATGTTGATGTAGAAGAGACATGGAGAAGAGGGGACACATGTTGATGTAGAAGAGACATGAAGAAGAGGGGACACATGTTGATGTAGAAGAGACATGAAGAAGAGGGGACACATGTTGATGAAGAAGAGACATGAGGAAGAGGATTTATATAATAGGTGACCTTTAAAGCATGTTTTGGTAACCCTTGTTCTGCGAGTCGGATGTTTGGAAGTAAATCTGCAGCGCCATGTTTCTTTTAACGGAGCGTCGTTATCGCCTCGCCTGCACCCGCCTGTAGTCGCCAACTTTTTTTATATAAAACATTATGCATTTAAATGATGAAACTGAATGTTAACTGCATCTGTTACTGAAACAACATATTAACGTGTACAAATCTGCATATTTCATCCTGTTTGAAAGCTTTCTCGCTCTTCTTCAGGTTCTCTAAGGGCAATCCCCCCAACGTTTATCTACAGATGCCAACAGATAATGACTCGTGTGACATCTAAATATGGATCTAAGGCTGAAACTGAACACTGTTTTCATTCATCTGCCACTTGCTTTCTCAGTTAAGACGCTTTGAAGTCTAAATAAAGCCAGAGAGTTACTTGGTGATGCTTTTTACACGCAGTAGAAGTGGAGCGACTGTAGTTATAACCCCTCTCTGTTTTAAATATAATATTCCAATGGTTTTTTCTAGAAAGATAGGGGGTGTTTCTCAATGTCGAGGACGCTTCCTTGGTAGGACATGTCTTCCGAGTCAGGTCCTTCAGAGGCTAGGCAAGAATCCTTCCTGGCATTCGGAGAACGAAGAATGGAACAGGCGAGCAGGTGTGAGTCATATGCGAGGCCCCGCCTTACATTTTCCGCCACAGATTTGGGAAATTGGTCCGTGCGCAAAGCATTGTGGGGATTTTAAGACCGTGGAGGATACACATGTGCAGCCTCGAAATTTCCCGCAACGAAGGACTCAGTCCTCGGTAGAATTCCAAGGATCCTGGACATTGGAACAGTCCTTCGGCGATGACGTAGCGTCCTTGAAATAGTGGCTCTGAAGCAGCTTTCCTGGAGCTTGAGAAACACCCAGAGTGGCGCTGATCTTCTTTGTAAGATATATTAATTCTGGGGAGAATATCTTCTTGTTTTTGATAATTATGAAGTAAATTTGACTTTTTTTGGATCATCTTTAGACCAAAAGTACATGAGATTAAACGGCAGATTGATGGATGATGAAAGTTGACTCCACGAAGTACAGGACAGACTTTCTGTAAACTTTATTCAACAACAAGCTTTTGGCGGGATTGCCCTTTAACCCCGGGGGTCACTGTGACTGACAGCCCTTAGCCCCGCCTCCTCTCCTACCTGCACTTCCTGTCCGAGCAGAGCAACATATTTTTATCTAACTAAAGGTAGAAAAGCATAATTATTATTAATGTTATTCTGACTATAGGCGTTTTATTTTTTAATCCAAAGCGGTCTGTCTGTATATAATTCCTCAGATAATATGTTAAAAAGTAAATACAGTATATTTAAGACGAGGTGTGTGTGTGTGTGTGTGTGTGTGTGTGTGTGTGTGTGTGTGTGTGTGTGTGTGTGTGTGTGTGTGTGTGTGTGTGTGTGTGTGTGTGTGTGTGTGTGTGTGTGTGTGTGTGTGTGTGTGTGTGTGTGTGTGTGTGTGTGTGTGTGTGTGTGTGTGTGTGTGTGTGTGTGTGTGTGTGTGTGTGTGTGTGTGTGTGTGTGTGTGTGTGTGTGTGTGTGTGTGTGTGTGTGTGTGTGTGTGTGTGTACTAGGGATCAGTTAAAGGCCATATTTCATATTTTTCATATTTTCTATCGATGTATGCTTTTAGCTTCTCTCATATTATTATTAGTTTCCACGTCTTTTTTTAAATGAGCGTCCTGCGTCTGATGCTTTGTTTTGGAATAATAAATTGACTCTTTTGTTGTTGTTGTTTTCAGATGTTTATTTGAACCTTGTAATAAATAACCTGGGAATGTTGAGTGTTGTAAATATGAATATGTTTTAAAGCAGAGACATTTTTAAAGAGACTGTACTTCACATTATTTTACAGAAAATAAACAAATGAAACCTGCAGACTCTCCGTGTGCATATTACCATAAACAAACAGATCATATACTCAGAGGTGGGAAGTACTCAAGTACTGTAATTAAGTAACTTTTTGAGGTACTACTTGTACTTAACTTGAGTATTTCCATTTTATGCTACTGTGTACTTTTACTCCACTACATGTAATCCCTTTAGTTACTTTACAGATCTGGATTAAGAACAAGATCTGAGTACTTCTACTTTTACTCAAGTACAAGATCTGAGTACTTCTACTTGTACTCAAGTACAAGATCTGAGTACTTCTACTTTTACTCAAGTACCAGATCTGAGTACTACTACTTTTACTCTAGTACAAGATCTGAATACTTCATGTGTTTAAATATGTCTCAAATGTTGCACAGTCGACATGTGGTCCTAATATGGTTTTATCAAAGTTAAAAATAATTTAAAAAACATGCTGAAAAGCTCAACATTACATTGCATTTAGCTGACGCTTTTATCCAAAGCGACTTACAATAAGTGCATTCGACCAGGAAGACACAACCTTGAAGAAAACAGAATCATAAAGTACATCAGGTTTCATAGAGCCAAACATTTCAAGTGCTACTCAACTGGCTTTAGATAAGCCAGTCCTTTATTAGTATAAAAGTGCTTCGTTAATAGTTCTATCGCTCGAAGTGGAGTCGAAAGAGATGAGTTTTCAGTTTGCGCCGGAAGATGTGCAAGCTATCTGCTGTCCTGATGTCAATGGGGAGCTCATTCCACCATCTTGGAGCCAGGATAGCAAACCCACGTGTTTTTGCCGATGGGAACTTGGGTCCCCCTCGCAGCGAGGGTGCAGCGAGTCGTTTGGCTGATGCAGAGCGTAGTGCACGCGCTGGGGTGTACGGTTTAACCATGTCCTGGATGTAGGAGGGGCCAGATCCATTCGCAGCATGGTAAGCAAGTACCAGCGTCTTGAAGTGGATTCTAGCAGTTACCGGAAGCCAGTGAAGGGAGCGGAGGAGCGGAGTGGTGTGGGAGAATTTAGGAAGGTTGAAGACCAGACGAGCTGCTGCATTCTGGATGAGCTGCAGAGGTCGGATGGCACATGCAGGTAGACCAGCCAGGAGGGAGTTGCAGTAGTCTAGGCGTGAGATGACGAGAGCCTGGACCAGAACCTGAGTCGCTTTCTGTGTCAGCTGGGGACGTATCTTCCTGATGTTGTAAAGCGTGTATCTGCAGCAACGGGTTGTAGCAGCGATGTTTGCAGTGAAGGACAGGTTGTTATCTAGGGTCACACCCAGATTCCTTGCAGTCTGAGTCGGGGAAACAACTGAGGTGCCGATGTTGATTGTTAGGTCAAGAGTGGGACAATCTTTTCCCGGGAGGAAGAGCAGCTCAGTCTTGTCAAGGTTGAGCTTGAGGTGGTGAGCAGACATCCACTGAGAGATGTCAGCTAGACAAGCAGAGATGCGTGCGACGACCTGGGTCTCTGAGCGGGGAAAGGACAGAATTAATTGGGTGTCGTCAGCGTAGCAGTGGTAAGAAAAACCATGCGGGCTAATGACTGATCCGAGCGAGTTTGTGTACAGGGAGAAGAGGAGGGGACCAAGAACAGAGCCCTGAGGGACCCCTGTAGTTAATTGACAAGGGTCGGACTCAGACCCTCTCCAAGTCACCCTGTAGGTACGGTCTTTCAGGTATGAGGTGAGGAGGGAAAGTGCAGAGCCTGAAACTCCAAGTTTTTGGAGAGTGTGAAGGAGGATCTGATGATTCACTGTGTCGAATGCAGCAGACAGGTCCAACAGGATGATGACAGAGGAGAGGGATGCAGTTTTGGCAGTGTGCAGTTCCTCCGTGACAGCAAGGAGGGCAGTTTCTGTGGAGTGACCTGCCTTGAAACCAGACTGGTGCGGATCCAGAAGGTTGTTCTGATGGAGATAACAGGAGAGTTGTTTAAAGACAGCGTGTTCAAGTGTTTTAGACAGGAACGGGAGGAGAGAGACAGGCCTGTAGTTTATAACATCAGACGGGTTGAGAGTGGGTTTCTTTAGGAGAGGGTTTACGCTTGCCTCCTTGAGACTGTTTGGAAAGTGACCAGAAGTTAGAGAAGTGTTGATGAAATGGGTGAGAAACGGTAGAATATCAGGAGCGATAGTCTGAAGGAGGTTTGAAGGGATAGGGTCCAGAGGACAGGTGGTAGGGCGGGCAGAGGTAATGAGGGTAAGAACCTCACTTGGAGAGAGAGGGGAGAAGGAGGTCAGTGTGTGGGTGGAAGGAGGGTCTGGTGACCCAGCGGTGAGTAGAGGTGAGTCAGAAAAAGAAGAGCGAATATCATTAACCTTTTTTTCAAAGTGGGTAACAAAGTCGCTTGACAGAAGGGAGGAGGGGGGAGGAGCTTTTGGAGGGTCCAAGAGGGTGGAGAAGATGGAAAATAGTTTTTTACGGATTGGAATAGGAAGATTGGATCTTATCTTGAAAGAAAGTGCTTTTTGCCTGAGAGATCGAAGCAGAGAAAGAGGAGAGGAGAGCCTGATAGGTTAGGAGGTCGTCACGGTGTTTGGATTTCCACCGTTTCCGCTCTGCTGCCCTAAGGACGGTTCTATTAGCACGCAGTGCATCATTTAGCCAGGGAGCAGGAGGGGACTGACGAGCCTGCCGAGATGTGAGAGGACAGAGAGAGTCCAGAGAGGATGAGAGAGGAGAGATTCTGCACACACACACACACACACACACACACACACACACACACCACCCCTCATCACTTCCTGGTGACGGCTGAGATCTGACAGAGAGATAGCAGCATGCTAACTGTGCTCCCTGATGTCTCCCTCAGTGAAC